CCACCCCGACCTAACAAAAAGATGGAGGGGGAGGGGTTCAGGGGGGCCTGAAATTGTTTGACCATAATTTAATGTTTTACATTAGGTTTGATAGGCTATCATCTGTCCATATTGGCATTCGCATCAAATAGTAATCGTTTAGAACCAGAAGTAATCGTCTTTGGGGTCAAAACTAGTATCCCCAAACGCGACCCAGATTCTAAGTTGTACCGCTAGATCTATGCATACGGCCCATCCATCTATAAATAAGCATAGCATCGAGGCTAGGCCTATGTGTATGACCCTCCATTTACCATAAAGCTAGGCTTTGTAGGCGGCACATAAACTATCAAATCGGATACTACAAGTGGACCACCCTAACCGTGGAAGTGCGCCGGCCCTATATAAAGGGCATGGGAGCCGGGCTACCCGGGAAACGCGCTGGCTCCTAGGGCTGACCTACTTCGACCGGGAAGCGCACAGGCCCTATATATCTGAAGGGCATAGAATAGACGCTGACCTTCTTCAATGGAAAATTTCGGTATTCCTTATATATATGGAAAATGACGTTTTAAATTACAGATCAAAGTCATAAATAGTTATCAATGACTTTGCAAGTTTTTTTGACCTCGTAGAACGTCTCTTGGCCAAGATATCGATCGATAAAGTGATGCAGTCCAGCCAAAGATCGTTCACAACGAGATAGTTCACCTCTTTCTTTGAGTCAATTAAAAGAGGGTCCACAAAATCCGGTGGCGTCTTCTTCGAAAAAGAGCGAATTTTGTGAACAGAGTTACCCTACTTGTGTGAAAAACAACATTTTAAAGTGAAACTAACAAGAGCCACACGCATAGCCACAGGCTAAGACAAAAGGATCACTATTTGTTTAGTACCGTCTAGGCATTTAAGCCTAGAATCTACAATCTAGATCTAGATGTAATATCTAGATGATCTACTTCAGACTCTGAAAAAATTAATTGAGATATCATTACACCACCACTTTGCAAAGTTTTTGAGGTTCATGCCATCAATAGCATTACTCCAGCGAAGCCTGTCCTCACTGTCCTGAGCATCCTTTTCTATCTGTTTCCATAATGTCCCGGCTTTTTCAATTTCCGCTTGTACTGCTCGCCTCCATGTCATCTTTGGTCTTCCCTTTTTACGTTTTCCTTGTGGGTTCCAAGTTAAAGCCTGCCTGATGATGCTTGTTGGGGGTCTCCTCAGGGTGTGTCCAAACCATTTCCATTTCTTCACCTGTATGTCTTCCTTTACTGGCCTTTGGCTTGTTCTTTCCCCCAGTTGAGCATTAGTGACTTGACCGTACCACTTGATCCCCACTCTCCTTCGTAGACATCCATACGAAGCTCTGCAGTTTCCTTGCTGCTGATACTGTTTATGTCTCTGAACCATACAGTAGAACAGTCTTCACATATATATATCTACTGAGAATAATTTCAGTACTGAGGGCCACCGCAAATCAATAATTTTCTATCTCCATCAGTCTTATCAGATTGCTGAACTCTTTCCCCCCCCCCCCCCCCCCCCCTTTTTTTTTTTTTTTTTTTTTTGGGGGGGGGGGGGGGGGGGGGGGGGGGGACACCGTAATTTGTTCATTTTCTCAAATCTACTGATTTTCGGTTGTTTCTCAGTATTAAAATCACGCATGTGCTTGCTAATTCATACTTAAATGAACCATTCAGTTACTATATAGCCATAGTGTTGTAGTTCTCATTTTGCTCAGCAGGGTCTGTCTTGTGTGTAGAATCTGACAAACCTCTTTGTTTGTCTGTTTTGTTTTCCAACTTATTCTGGTCTTTGTCAAAGTCCAGGTCTCTGCGCCATAGGAATATAGGGAAGATGTAGCATTCCAACATTTTCTTTCTTAAAGTGAGAAATAGTTCCTGGATAGTTTGTTCATTCGGTTGAATCTTGATTTGCAGCTGCTGTTCTTATGTTTATTTCTTTTTCACTTCTTCCATCATCTGTGATTTTTGCCCGTAGATACTTGAATTGGTGCACTTGTTTGATTTTCTCCCCGTCTATAGTTATGTCTGTTGTTTTTCCAGAAGATTTTGATAAGACCATTGTTTCTGTTTTCCTGGTGTTCCTATCGAGGCCTGCCTTACTGCTGTTCCTTTTCACTTTTTTTCACAATTTTAGAAAGATATTCATTTTTGTTTGCAAGCAGCTGTATTGTCTGCGTATCTCAGGTTATTGATGTTGTGGCCCCCAATAGAGGCTCCCCCCATGTTTTTGAGATTCTCTAAAAATAAACTCTGTAAAGATGTTTAAAAAATAGGGAGAGAGGACACAACCTTGTCTCACTCTATGGATTTTGATATATTCTGATATTTCATTACACACTTTAATTTTAATTGCTGCCAGTAAAGACTTCTTATGATTCTTATGTCTTTGCCATCAATACCTAGATCTATCTTCTCCAAACACTCAATCAGCCTGATGTGATTGGTTCTGTCAAAAGATTTTGAGAAGTCAATAAAGCAGGCAAAGAGGACTTTTTGGACTTCTGTGCTTTTGTGTTCATGCAGAAGATTCCTTCTCTGGTGCCACTTCCAGTCCTGATTCGAAACTGAACTGTTCTTCTCCAATTTATTTGTCAATTTTGCCCTTGATTCTCCTCAAAATGACTTTCAAAAATATTTTCATGATATGTGGCATGAAACTGATGCTCCTGAAGTCCTCGCATTTTTTTGCTTTTTTGGGATGATAATATGTAATAAACCGATTGGAGTAGCTCCTCTGGTAAATATGTCCTGAGTCATAGATATTGTATAAAAATAATATAAACTGGACGTTATCGCTTCTTTCTCAAGTGTCAGTGCCTCATTTTCCTGTGAAAAATATGGCAGAGAGCATCATTCTCATTGCAGAACTAGTTTAGAATTTGCTTATGAAATGTTTCTTTGAGAAAAGGGTTAAAGAGGTAAGTGTACAGCTTCAGGATAGGGCTGTAGGACTAGATGGGTAAAAGGATTTCTAAACACGCAGTTTACTTATCATTGATTATGGGCACATTAACATTTTTTTAAATCTAAACCTTCGTGATGTCACTCCGGTTCTTCTTTTTTTTTTGTGGTAAGTTTGACGGTGCTCGCAACTGCGTAAGGTCATATGAGCGTGCGGGACACACAAAACATTTTCTATTGGTGGGAAATTTTGAATTTTGCCCGTGCGGCGGCCAAAGCCTACTCTTATCGATTTTGGACTGCCAAGGGATCTTTGACGTGCGCAACTTGAACACGGGAGTTCTTCTTTTTTGTGGCCGGAGGGACATCTGAAAAAATTAAATGCTCTTGTAATGATGACTGATATAGGATATTGCTTTGGTGAATTCGCTTAGACAGGTTTTTTAAAATGAATATTCAGCACTTCACAAATTTAAAGCAAGGTCATTATAAAAAATTCTTTTGTTGCACAATGTCATACTTTTACAGTGCTGCATTTTAATTTTAAAATACAATCGAACCTACTATAATGAATGGTCATCTGAATATGAGACAATCACCTGTACATATTATGGCCACTTCAGTTTCCTCCCTGGCGTTAAATTTTATTTTTTAAAATATTAAATGTTATAATGGCACTGTCTACGATGGTCACTTTTCTTCAAAACGATGAGAGATTGTCTAAGATATTTCTGATTGTATTTTTTTCTTTAAAAAATGTGTTTAATTTTGTTTGGGCTTTTAAAAATCTTTCAGTGACAAGACCATATCAGAAAGTGTGTTCGACTTTATCTCGGACGTTGTGCCTCAGGTGGGACAAGCCTACTCATCTGTGAGTCCAAAGACTGAGGAAAAAGAAAAGGTTCTATGGATCTTGCTGGAGGATTGTGATGTGAATGGTAAGTTATTGAGGAGAAGGAAATGGTTCATTTGTTTGGTGAAAGTTTTATGGCGCTCGCAACTACCTAAGTTCATATATATGAGCGTGCAAATGTACTTCAGTGGATCTTGGCGGGGGGTTGTGATGTTAATGATAATTTATTGATTATTGAGGAAAAGGAAAAGTCCAGGGGATCTTGCCGGAGGATTGGTATGTTAATTGTAAGTTATTGATTATTGAGAAGGTAAGTGCTCAATGGATTTTGCTGGATGTAAATGGTAAGTGACAGAGAAGGCTAGACTTCCTGGTGTAGATCAGAGAAATAATCCATTGTGACTGTCCTATCAACTTGTGGCACAACTGTCCCATTGCTGGGGGTGCCGCTACTTATTAACAGAAATCTATGGTGTTGTGGTTTCTTCTTAGGCAGCGTTTGTTTTGTCGTCTCTTCTGCTTTCTCTCTGTAATGCTGATATAATGACAGCTGAGAGTCCAGTTTATGCTAAAGAAAATTTTGTAAAATTTGAAAATACTCCCGTGACCTGACACTTTAGTTTTTTTTCGCTTTTGCTCTACATCTTGGATATTTTGTTTTGATGTTTGCTTGTTGTTGGTTTTTTTATGGGGGGGGGGTTGGTAAGTGTTTTACGGCGCTCGCAATTGCTTAAGGTCATATGGGTGTGGCAGAAAGACAGACAAAATAGACACAACAAATTGATTTTTTAATTTGGAAAAAGCCAGCAAGTTGGGATCTTCAACACCCTACCACCTCCTCCCGCTTCGCAAACAAGCCAGAATTGACAATCTTTATTACTTTTGGAGCCGTAAGTCTATTTTCTTCTCTCACAAATCGTTGTTTTTGCTCAGACATAGTTAATCAATTTGTTTTGTATCCCAATGGAGAGTACAAAGAGGTGAGTATAGGCTGGGATCCAGGACTTCTTTGATTTAATGAGACGCCTTAAGGTCCTCGGGTGTACGTATAGATCATAATCATCAGCATCATCATCATCATCATCATCATCATCATCATCATCATCATCATCATCATCA